TTCCTTCAACATCTGATCTTGCTAGCTTATAATAATTTTTCCAAATAATAATAATAATATAATAATACTACCTCCGTCCCTCTTATATTGGGTCGGAAGAGAGTGACACGATTATTAAGAAAAGTGGGTTGTGTGGTTGATATTAATTGATAAAGTAAGAATAAGGTAAGAATGATTTAGAACCACACAAACTTTACCAAATATGGTATGAGACAATTTTAGTGGGACTTCCCGGAAAGGTAAAACGGAACAATATAAGAGGGACGGAGGGAGTAATATATAATAACGTTACTAAATTAGAGGCGTTAGCGTTTTATAATATTGAGATGAATTTGGCACGAATTTCCCCTTGATTTTGTGGTAAATAGTTCGTGTCAAACTGTTTTTGGCACGCATTTGACATATCCGTATCAAAATCCCTATCAATTTTGGAAGGGGTGGGAAGACTGGAAATCCAGTCTCGGGCCCGATATCCCCCATTAGCATTACCCATTTACCTGGCCCTAAGTTACACAAAGGTAGCCCCATTAGAATATTTTCTCTCTTTTTTCGTATTGGCTAGGCCTCCCCGGCACAACAACTATTTAGATCCCATCAACCCCCAAATGGCTCGGTTGACCGTTGGGTTGTGGGGGTGGGGTGGAGAAAAAATTATAAATACTTATCATTCTTCTCATTATTAACACACTTCAACAATCTAAATATCTCATTTTTTATGGAAGTAATGTTAACTCACTACGACATACTCCCTCCGTTCCTAAAAGGATTGCCAAGTTTGATCGGCACGTAGAATAATAAAGTAAAAACTGTGTGGTAGAGATTTGTGCAGAGGAAAGAGAAATAACAGAAATCACAAATTGATTGACTAATAGGGAAAGTGACAAAGTTTTTGGAACAACCAAAAAAGGAAAGTTGGCAAAGTTATAAGGGATGGAGGGAGTATATTCTATACACAAATAAAGTCTTCATTTCTGAAAGAATTTTATTTGGGAAAACATGAAAGCTATGCAAAGCATCGATTATGGTAAACTATGCAAACATTTCCATACAAAGCATTAGGGGTGGGCGCGGTCCGGAACGGTCCGGTAAATTGGTAAAACCCGTAATGTATCCGTGATGTTTTTAACGGTCCGGTACGGTCCGGTTCTAACGATAGAATCGTTCGGTACCATGTCGTTTCGGAACGGTACAAAACGGTACGGTACAATGCCAAACCCATCCTAAAAAATTTGAACAAATCTTGCAATAAGTAGATATCATCACACCAACCAACTCACGTGAAATGTTGATATAAATACAAGAAATTGCATACGTAGTACTAAAATTAACAAATACACAAATAGTGCAACACACCTAAGAAAAAGTATAGCAAAACGATGACACACGGGATAAATATCATCTTTAATTTACTAAGTTCATGTGAAAATATAAAAACGAATATTATCAAATTGTTGAATATAATAGAAATCTTCAACGTTCTTCTTCTTCGTTCTAGGTTAAATATTACTCCGTAGTTCTCACTTAATTTATAGTTGAACCTTAAAAGCTAATATTTAAATCATATTAATTAAGTTGTAAAAATTGCACAAACATGATACAACAAAAAGTCATTTACACTACATTACTAGAAATGAATAGTCATTAATGATTTCTAAAATTTTAATACTCTTTCAATACATACCAAAATATAACATAAATTATCTAAAAAGAAAAAATAACAATATATATATGTAAAAGACATCTATAAAATTGTTGGTCTATAAAAGAGATCTATTGGTATAGAAAAAATATAAAAAACTCAAATGCATTATTTTCGAATGGTTCGGTCCGGTATTTTTCGGTTCTCAAAATCTAGGACTGGTCACGTACCCGTTTCAAATGATACGGTTTTGGTGCGGAATAAAAATTTATAGAACCATTTAAATACCCGATATTCGGTTCGGTACCATTACGGGACGGTTCGGTACCGGTTCGGTTCGGTACCGGTTCGGTTCGGGTTTCATGCCCACCCCTACAAAGCATTGAACACTCAACCATGCCAATAATGCATAAATGTTGTTTTCGTGAGTTAATTACTCAAATGTTATGCATATGATGCATATTTAATAAGGATTTATGTCTACCACTAGCTGCAATACTGTATTAATAATTCAATGTTTTGAAATTTTTAATAGTTTGAAGTTTGTTGTTTATTGTTAGGTCTTACGTTTTGAATTCAAAATTGAAATAATATAAATGTGGACCATTAGTTATTTAAGTTCAATTTAAATAAATCAAATTGTATTTTTCTTTACATTTTACACTTTAAATAAAAAAAATAAAAGGAGGCCAGGTTTGGACGAGACCAAAATTAGTACCGCTCAGTCTACCGGAACTGGTACGGGAACCGGAATATAGTATGCCAGTCCCGAGCCCATATATTTTTCCGTAGTAGTACGTATGTAGTATGGAATATTACTATAATTAAACCCGGTGGTATGCATGTCCTCATCATCTAAAAAAGTAAATACAGCTCAAGTATCAACTCTAGCCTCTTCAGAGCATGTGATCTAAGAATTCAAAAAATCGTGAATTATTTATAGTACATAGTTCCAGAGTTGGACCATCCACCACTTTTACAAAGTTAAATTGTAATATTACACGAAAAAAAGCTTTTCAATCATGTCCTTTTATTTTAACAATAATTAAGTACGGAGTACATTATTTCATAGTTGTAAAAATAAATTTCAAATAGAAATGAGTGATTTGATTACTGTACACTTTTAACTACTTCATCCGTTCTTAAATAAATACAATGATCAACATTTCACATTTGTCAAGATACAACTTTGACTCTTAGTATATATAGTTCTGCAATAGGAAATAAAAAATAAAAAAATTAGATTTTGAAAATTTACAATGAGACAAATTTAATCCTGTCAAAAATAGCATTAACTATATATATTTTCTTCTCATGCCAAAATATGACTTATTGAATTAATCCTGTTTAAAAAATAGAAATTACCCAAAATAAGAGTAAAAACATATTGGAATTCCAAAATATCATTTTCATGCTTTTATTCCTTAAATATGATAATTCTGTCAAATTTGGGAAAAAATGCCATGTTTATAGCCTAAAATGCCAAGCTTGGCATAAATTTACTCCTATTCAGGAAATAAAAAACATGATAGTCCTATTTTGGAATTTCAAAACTTTTTTACTTCTATTTATGGAATTCTCTCTTTAAAAAATAGAATAATATTCCCTCTGTCACTTAAAACTTTGTCAACTTTCCTTTTTTTGGATGCTCCACTAACTTTGTCACTTTTCCTTTTAAGTAAAGAATTTGTGGTTCCAGTTAATTCTCTCTTCTCTACACAAAGCTCAATTACACAGTTTTTACTTTATTAATTACCGTGCCGATCAAACTTGGCAAAGTTTTAAGGGACGGAGGTAGTATAAACTTCTCAAATAGGAGTATATATATGAGAAAATTCCCTAAATGGGACTAAAAGATACCTAAGAATGAAGCTTCTTTTGTAGTCACTATTTTGGGATCCATGTTTGCAGGGTTATCTACTCGGTGAGTACTCGGCGAGTACTCGGTGAGTACTCGGCGAGTACTCGGTGAGTACTCGGTGAGTACTCGGCGAGTACTCGCAACTCGGGTACTGACTTTGTTGAGTAGCTACCTAACTCGGTCCATGTTTTATTTCCGAGTTACTGGCCGAGTACTCGGCGAGTTTCTCAACTCGATGAAGTTTTAGACTCGGCGAGTTACTCGGTCTACCTCGGTCTCCCTTTAAAAAATTGAAAAATTAAGTTACAAAATCTAGATTGAACGGAATTTCTGACATCTACTATCCCCTAGTGCAGTGACTACAATTTCTCAATAAGTTGTCATCTTTTTTCTCATATCTTCCCCTCTCCCCTCTCTCGTTTCTTCTTCTTCCACCCTCCCATCCTTCAGTTGATTTTTATTTTAAAGTATCAACACACATATATTTTGATATAAATAAATTCTTTTCACTAGTACGACTATATATATTATACTACATAGCTTTTAATTAATATCACTATATTGTTTACTATTGCACATCATTGATTGATACACACTGTCACACATCATCTAATTAACAATCATGATGAGCTTTGCCCAATCTGTTGAGGCTTCTAATGGGGATGAATATGCTAATACTACACTTGAGAGAAAATCAGATGATGTAGGATGTACATGGGGAGAGAATAGAGATCTTACTACTCCATTTCTATCATTTTATTCATTTCTATGCATTTTAAGATAATTTTATGACTAGTATATTTCTATAATCTCTGGCACCTATGTTATTAAATTTAATTAATACAAGGACGAGTAATCACCGAGTAATCCCGAATAATCGGTCCTACTCGATCCTTGACTGAGTTATTACCGAGTAGCGAGTTAACTAGTTAACTACTTAGCATACGTGTAAGGATGTTTTTACTTGGACTGTAATTTGCTGGTCTGGCCTGTTCTGTTTTAGTCTGGTCTGGTCTGTTTTGGTCTTGTCTGGTCTGGTCTGAAATTTTATTTTTTATGTTTTTTGCATAAAGATTTTATTTTTTATATATACTATAATCCATAAATAATTATATTTTATTCATTTATAATAAAAAATAATAATAGTAATAATACTAATAATACTAATAATAATAACAATAACAATGATGATGATGATGATGATGACGACGACGACGGCTACAACGATGATGATGATGATAATAATAATAATAATAATAATAATTACAATAATAATAATAATAGTAATAATAATAGTAACAATAATAATAATAATAATAATAATAATAATAATAATAATAATAATAATAATAATAATAATAATAAAATATGATCTGGTCTGGTCTGGTCTGTTTTGGTCTGGTCTGGTCTCGTCTAGTCTGGTCTAGTCTAGTCTGGTCTGAGACGAATTACCGTCCAAGTAAAAACAATTGCCAAAATAAACCTATAATTAGCTAGCGGCTAATATTAGTGAATGGTTCACGTGGAACACCATTAGGCTCAAGATAAGAGGAATACTATAACATACTTCTACATTATCATTCGTATGTAGCTTCTTCTTACCTTTCTTGATTCATCATCAGCCATATCATGGCAAACCAGTCTTGTATATTTATCTTCTTTCTTTTGGCTTTGATAGAACTAGTATTTGTGCAGTTAATTTATTGTTCTTCTCCCGTCCGGTCATCAATACCTTTGCCTAGCTACAATATTTATCACCGGCACTCGAATGAGGTTACCAGTGTGTTAGGCGGAAAAGGGTTGCCCAAACATGGCTCGGCGGAGCACTACACCGCCTGGACAGCTCGTGACCAATACCGCCGCCGCCGCCTCTCTAGGGCACTCACATTTGGTGGGGGCGATGTCAATAGTCAGATAAAAAGCTTGGGAAAGTAAGTCCAATCATATTCATGCATTGTTATATAGTTACTATACAAATTGCTCACCGACTAAAACATAGAAAACGTTGAAATGGAGAACTATCAAACAAGTCATCGAACTTTCATAAAATAACATGACTGATTTAAGTTGGGGCATGTTTTGTTCCGTGAGTAAATCCTCTATATATAAGATTTATTAAATCCTACTAAAAGATTCCTACCAAGTTGATTAAACTTCCCAAATTAAAACAGGAGTGAACGAAGTCTTATTTCGGAAATAATACAAAGATAGTCTTATTTATGAACTTAATTCTAAGCTCGTTATAGTCCTATTTACGGAATTTTCTGGTACGTAATGTACGCGTATGTACCGTGTCTGCCAGTCATGCATGCACATGCCCAAGAAACAGTTTCTACCATAATTTAATACGTATTTTGCGTCTATATATTTCAGCTTGCATTATGCTGAAATACGTATTGGTACTCCTGGGAAGCCATTTATGGTCGCCCTTGACACAGGGAGTGACATATCCTGGTTGTCATGCCTTTGCAAGAACTGCGCAGACGTCTTTGAAACAGACATGGGAGAAGTAAGTGTAAATTATAAGTACTACTGTATATAGTAAAAACAGGATATATATATATAGCTTATAAATTATTAATAGGACTATAGGAGTACGTAAAAATACACTTTTTCCATTGTATGTGATGTTTTTCCACCACCACCACCACCACCACCACTACTAATAATTTGGAGTATATAAATCTTATTGTCTGTATAATTTAGGTGTGGAATGATCGAGACTGGGGCTAATTTGGAGGGTGGCACAATCAATGGTTTGCTAGGGCTGGGCTTTAATACGCCTTTGGATTTACCTGGCATGTTAGCATCCCAAGGGCTGGTCCCTAACTCCTTCTCCTTATGCTTTGGCCTTGATGGCAAAGGCAGGCTTGCATTTGGAGACAAGGGTAGCAGTGCCCATATGAGAGCACCACTAGACCCGGATGGGTAAGTGAATCGGGACTTTTGTCTTGATCAATGACAATTAACTTTGACCAATGATATATTTAAATATGAAATTATTTTGAATACAAAAGTTATATAGAAATGTTCCTTATTCAAAATATTTTCATAAAAGTATAAATAATTATATACAAATATAATGAGTAAAATTATTTTCTAAAGTTTGTCATCATTAACCAAAAAAATCAATATGGTGAACATTTTCGGGAGTGGGGTAGTACTGCGTATTTCTTACTAAAAAGGGAAGCATAACATTTAACTTCATACGTACGGTCCAAAAGAACAAATTAGTTTGGTTTGTGCACTTTGTATCATTGTGTATGTTTTTGTTCCATTAAAGAATTTTCTCAAGACATAATTGGGGAGTATTATTTAATGAATTATTATTAATAAAATCTTTGAGTTTCTTAATTTTCTTTCTCTAACATAATGCATGCAGTGAGGGTTACAACATACAGATAGAGAAAATATCTGTGGATGACATTGCATTGTAAGCAACATTGGGTTTGTAGCGCTAGTTGATTCCGGCACCTCTGTTACACAGTTAAATGAACAAGCTTATTTCTTTATAGCAGAGAATGTGAGTTATTAGACTGCATCTCAGCTAATAAAATTTCCATTTCTGTTTAAATAAATTTGGGTTACAATCTGTATATATATATATACCAGAAAATTTAATATATGTGCCTTCAACCCTACATTTCCAGTTTAATTCTCTTGTGAAGGATCCACGCATCCCTCCCTCCGATGCATATCCATTTCAGTATTGCTATACTCCAAGGTAAGTACGTTAGAACTCATGTTGTCTGTGGATCATATTTTCTCTTAAAACCGAGTAACAAGGTAGAAATGCAAAAAAAGAGTTTATATTTTATGTTTCTGACTATGTTAGAACTCACACCGATAAATTATGAAGTAATAAAGTGTTATGCTACCTATTAAAATTATAAAGTGATATGAAGTATTAAGACCTTTTAGGATTGAACCTTAGGTCTTAAATTAATACTACGTATGATATTAGAGTAAACTGAATCTACAACCAAAGTGTGACGAATTTCATATGAAAAATGATGATTAAAAAATTGACAATGACGAACCAACGAAAAAATAAATGATCGATCTAGACAATGTGTCTGATTGTGACGAAGGATGATGAAGACTCAAACCAATAAAATCATATATTTATTAGAATGAGAAGTGATGATTATTATTAATGAGTAAGAGGTATATATAATACAAGAGTCCTGATCTAGTTAAACTATACAAAACCAATATAATCAGGCCAGGCACAGTACACTAAATAAATACAATAAGACCTAATTTAATTAATCCGTAATAATATTAAGATATTGGGCTACTCGTCATATTAAGTTGACTTTTTATGATAGAAACACGAGTTTAATAGAGTAAAAAAATATACAAAGTACTTGGTATGAATGTATGATGAATGGATAAACATGTCCTATAAAAGCAAATTAAACTTAGCTACCACCGTATGGATAAACATGTCCTAAAACAACTACACTACTATACTATATGTGATCTCAGCCTCTACATACACTTGTCAATCACACGATGTTTTTAATTGAACTAGTTTAATCTCACACCACAATCAGATTAGATCAAATCACATTTCTACAATTGCACAGATATCTATCAGGTCTGGTCAGATTAGACTAGCTAGATGTAAATAGACACATTGAGAAAAGTTAATCTAATTAAAAACATCTTAAATATTGGTCAATCCTAAAAGCCTTTATTAGTAAACTCTTAACCCTAGCTAAACTAGCTCTAAGCCTAAACCAAAGTGTAAAAAGGAATTGGAACTTCTGGAATCTAAAAAATGTACTCCATATTTCTATTTGAGCACTTTTACTCATTTCATTTCTTTGGATGCAGAACAAATCACACGACACATCGAACACCTTCTTTGACCTTCACGGTGAAAGGAGGAGCCGATTTTGATGTTGTTACCCCAATTTCCATAACGACTCTTCCGGTAATTCGCAGCTTAGCTTATTCACACATTTAATTTTTCTTTAATAGCTTTTATTAAATAAATGGAAATAACTTTTTGTTAAATCTCCTCAGGGGTTGGATGGACCAGCTTACTGTTTAGGTATTCTTAAGAATAAGAATATTGATATCAACATCATTGGGCGTAAGTATTAACTTTTTTTTCATTGAATCTTTTATTCCACATTAACCAATTTCAATATCTATTTTCACTTATTTTGATCTTACTTATTAAATCATGCATGCTGCGTAATATAGTCATAATACTGGTGGTACCTCGTTATTGTATTTCGTGCTTAATCTTGTTTTGGAATTAATTAATTTTTGAAAAATTAGCTTAATTTAACATCTTTAAATTAAATCCATTGCACTTCAATTCTTTTATCCATACTTTTTCCAGAGAATTTCATGATAGGCTATCACATTGTCTATGATCGTGAAGAGTCTATTTTGGGGTGGAAACAATCTGATTGTAAGTTAGCTTTTCTAGCTCCAAAATCCTTAACTATGGCTCATATTATTGTTCTAGCTACATGGATAAAAGTATAGCAAAAATAGAACTATCAGATTTTGAGTGGACAAAAATAAGATCAACTTTTATTCTAGATAAAAATAAAAAATATGATTCTATTTTAAATCATAAGTTATTATTTAGTATTATTTTTTTCAAAACCCTTTAGAATATGATGCGTAAATGTATTCTTACAAATAAACGAGTCGAGATCATCAATTATTATTAAGTCGCTTTATTTTTTCTATTCTCAGGTATAATAAAAGAAGCAAAAACTACTCCCTCGAGCAAAGCATCGGGAGCAACAATGCAGAGCTTAGTAGTGATGAGCTTTTTAATCTTGTTTTCTTCTGGTTACATTTATTTTGTAACATAGTTATAATTTCATACCCCTAACTAGTACTCCCTCCGTCTCGGTCATTTCTTCCGGTTTTGACCGGTATCGCAAATTTAGGTAGTGGAAATAAAGTGAAAATGTATGGTTGTAGTTGTGTAAGAAAAAGGTGAATGAATGCGAACCACATATTATTTCCAAAAGTGAAAGTTGGAAGAATTAATTGGGACGGCCCAAAAAGGAAAGTTGGAAGAAATGACCGGGACGGAGGGAGTACGATAGAAGCATTTGCAAAAAAAAAAAACTAGTATGATAGAAGCATATTTTTCCTAGAAAGTGCTAAAGTTTTGATGTGTACAGAAATAATTAAAGGAACATTGTATGGTGCATTTAAGGTACATATCTTGTAATATTGTCACCATGAATCAATTATAATCATCCTCATCCTCATTATCTCGGTGTCTCAAAGACTCCCACTTTCAACGAGGCAAGAGAGGTCGGATGTACGCAGTATTGCTCATGCACTAAAGAACAAATAAGAGAGGTCGGATGATATGAATCAATTATAATACTTACTGCAATTAAATCATTTAAATATAAATATTAATAAATGATAAGTAAGGAATTCAATCAATTAAATTCACTATTCCCTCCGTCCCATAAAATTTTCCCGGATTTGGTTTGGATCTAAGTTTAATAAAATATGAATAAAGTGAAAGTGTATGCTTGTAATCAAGTAAGAAAAAAGTAAACGAATGTTATCGTACAAAGCTTTTCGAAAAGAAAAATGAGAAGAATTTTTTTAGACATTTCAAAATGGTGAATGAGAAAAATTTTATGAAAAAGATCGAATGTATATATACTTTAATATTTTTATGAGTAACCATCACCATCGCCATACTTTAAATTTTATGAAAAAGATTGAATGTAACCATCACCATCCCCATAGTTAAACTGAACTGCCTCATTACGTAGTCCGTGACTTGCCAATTTGTCGTGGTGAATGTTTTTTAGCTTAGTAACTGAAATTTTCTCTATTTGTGATCTTGTCATTTTCAACTACTGTAGTTATATATTGTCCGAAGATTAAAGAGTTGTCTTCTGGACTCAATCTTTTTAAATTGGCTGGCACCTATTTCCTTGAAGGAAGTTGACGAAATTCGGGGTAAATTAGGAAGAAAATGATAAAGTAAGATGTAATATTTGCATTTAAAAATAATCTGTAAACTGTACTGTAAATGAAACCAACATCACAAAAGCATATTTAGTAAGCTTGCACTTTTTGAAAAAAGGAAAAAATTATGAATGGTTAAGAATAATGATCAACATGTAACATGTGGAAGGTGAGTTATGACCCGCACGGGTAGCTCACTTGGTTCAATGATGAGAAATTTGGAACAAGATAGTTTCCCGTGTGGACTCGAGGATCGTCTGGTCGGCATCCTTGCTGGATCGTGCCCAAATTGGGCCTTGATGGGTTCCTTGCCACGGATAATGGACCGATCCGCTATCAGGCCTATTAACCCAACAATTTCTATTTGTTACGAGTGTTATTTCATATGAAATTGTAAGTTTTGTGGTTCAGGAAAAAAGAAACACGATTTAGGTTATATAAAGAGAAACAATAAACTAAAAATTTGGTCGTAAATCATTTGTCGACTGCCCCCGGTTCTATAGATCAGTAACTAAGCACAAAACATTCTCCATCAAACATGATTGAGAAAGCGATATCTCATGTTTGCAAATGAGTGTGAAGAAGTATTCTCCTTACATTAATAGTTTATTGTGCATTTTGTATGTTATTTACTTCTATATATAGTTAAATGTAAGTTGATAAACAAAACATACTGAAATGAGATGTAACACTAATTTCTAGGGCTTCAAATTTGTTCTAGACCACACTGACTCCTATCATGTCCAAAAAATTTAGGATGCAACCGCAACCCTAAATCTTAACTCTTTATTTTGAGTTTAAAAATTTTCATTAAAGTTTACACGGAGTAATGAAACATTTTTTTTACTACTCGCCCCAATAAAATTCTCTCTTTGCCATTGAATATAAAGGGATTTTTTCACAAATAGACTAAATAATGAAACTAATATCACTTTTTTCATCTTTAAAAGTTCTTTTCAAATATAAACCATTTAAAATTTTGTTTTCAAAAATAGACCATCCATTCATATCAAGCATTCCTACTGGAGTATTTTCTTATCACACATGTACATACCATTTGAATCACTAGATACTCATTTCTCCACCAACTAATAAAAAGTTTTGGTACACAATTTTTTATTTTTAAAAAGAAAAATGAAAATATTCATTAAGAATTCAAAATGCCGATAATGCTTACAAAGCACAAAAATTCAAAACAAAAGTTGAATTTAAAAAAACATAAAAAAAACTCCAAGTAAAAAGAGATGGGAAACTGTAATATAAAATTTAAAAAATTATATAAATGAATTTAAATTAAAAAAAAAACAATGAGAAAATTAAAAAAACATATGGAAAACCTAAAATTGAACAATTACAAAGATTAAAATAGTTTAAAATGGGGGAAAATTGTAAAAAGTTTCAAAATACGAATTTTATAATGCAACTTTAAATAGTTAATATAATTTATATAAAATATATAAAATGTCAAAAATATAAAAAATCAGAAATTTAATAAAAGGTAAAAATAGTTTAAAAAATATAATAAACGTTATATATATAAATAACATGTGTGAATTAGATAAAAAAATTGAAACATTTAAATAATATCCAAAGTAATTACAAACTTTTATGAAGAAGTGGTTATTTTAAAAAACATTACAAATATACATATTAGACAAATACAATTAAAATAAATATAAAAAATTTCAAAAAATTCAAAAAATAAACTTAATTTTATAAATAAATTTATAAATTAAAATATTCTGAAAATAAAATTAATTTTATAAATAATGAAAAAGAAATATCCAAAAAAAGAAAGAAACAAAAAAAAGTATTAAAAAATTACAAAAACCCATAAAACTAATGTAACCTAAAGAGTAAAATTTAAAAACTCAGAAAATAAAAATATCAAAAGCTAAAATAATGGACATGAAACATATTAAAAAATAATATTTTAAAAAATATATGAAATTTGTAATATAATGTATTAATCCGAATTTCTTAAAGAACTTAAGAAATAATGTTTTTGTTTCCTATTGTTTCTTTTTGTTTATAACTCATGATTTTTTTGTTTCTTTTTGTTTCTTGTTGTTTATATTCGTAAATCATATTTATAATTTTAGGTATTTGTATATAAAATTAAATAGATATATTTGTGATAAAGAAGTAGAAAAGATAAACAATAACTTAAATAAACATAAAAAACTAAATCACTAATAAAAAATGATAAGTAACATAGTGCAACATAAAGAAAGAGTTGCAACAAAATGCAACACGATGCAACAAAATGCAACAAAATGCAACACATGTGATGCAACAAAATGCAACTAAGGGAAACAAAAACAATATATAAATGTATTACAACGATATAGAATTCAATCTATTGTTCCAGTTTAGTACATTTATCTATTATATTAGTTGGTCTTGCTTCTTATCATTCCTTCTTTCATATGTCGCCCTTACTCACATTAGTGTTGGTGTGCCTCATTAAATTTCTCCCAATGTCGAATGTGATTCATATACCATTGCTTTTCATTCTCAATGCTCTTTGGTGACACTGCTTCCCTGCAATATACCAATATTTTAAGTGAATAATAGCACAACCATAACAAACCAGTGAATTATATAGGAAATATTGAGCAACAGTCACACCTCATCCCCTTTATCACTCGAAATAGTGAAGGCTCCCAATAGTTTCAAAAAAGTAAATCTAAAGTTAAGATTCAACATAGCAACCATCAAGAACAAAACAAAAACCTTTCAACCGCTTGAAGATTTAATAACAATAGATCACTTTCTTCCTGCAAATTCCAGGAGAAAATAAAAACAACCAAAAATCATACTACACATTACCACATACAAACATCATAAGAGCTAATAAGTATTGCATTAATTTTCCCTTAAAATATAACATAATATTAGCCATGAAAATAGTTAGTGTTTTAGTAATGTACCCTTGGAGTCCTAAGGAACTGCCTGTCCCACAAATTAAAAAAAGCTAGAGCACCATAACATCCAATTTTTTTTCTATATGCACTTTCATCATCACTAATAATCTCATTTTCATGTGTTTATCAATTACTCTGTGATATTTTAGAATAGTCAAGCATAGAACATATGGAGTTGTTGTTACTATACTTACACTTTGACCAAACAATGATATACCGGAACCTTAAAACTCTTACCATTACCAATTTGTCAAATAAGCTAGGGAGGCATCTTAGAAAGCTCATGCATTAGTTCAACAAAACGAAAAAATCATCAATTAATTGAAAAATGTGCAAACACGTGCTATCATAAACGATCACTTGACATCATTCAGCATATTGTCCAACAAATATAAAAAAACACATGACAGTGCATTAGTAATTATCCAAGGCATACCAATTCCAATAGCTCCATCGGAGTGGAACTTCCGGTCCTCATATTACTCTATCTATGTATAGATAGAATTGTAAAATAGTTTGCACAAAGATTTGAACTAATTAGTCTGCCAATATGTCTATTTTAATTTTTGATTGAATACGAAGGGACACATATGAAAATAACCGATGATGAAGGGATGTGATGGCTGGGAACAATCAAATTCCTAAAAATGGACTGATTATTCAAAGCTTATTGAGGATTTACCTCAAATCCATACGATTCACGCCAGCGAGCAACAACGAGGTCAAAATCCACCAAAGAGATCGATAGAATCCGAAGAAAATCGAGTCAGATTAAGCCTCCCAAAAGCAATTACACTGTTATGGAGGTGTGGTCTGTGGAAGAGATCGGGTCGCAGCAGGGGAGAGGTAAGCGACGATGATTTTAGAGGCCAGGGGAGAGAAAAAGAAGAAGAGAGTTTAGGCCTTAGGGGTATATACTGATTTAATTATGATGGAGACTATTTCTGAAAAAAAAAGAGTAGAGTTGAAAAGGAGAAAGATTACGGATGATAGAATAAAAATCACAGGTCAAAAAAGAAATGAAATTGTTAAAAGTGGCTCAAATGGGTAATTACCACGAATATAAATAACATAGTACGTTGAAGAAATGCTCACATTCCATTGACCATCAAGTTCATCTTTTGCATGACAACCAAGGAAAATATAGCTATAGCCTATGGAGATATCTTTCATTCTTTCTCATAATTGTTTCCCAAAATGTTGAAATATTTGTCGCATGCAATGATAATATAAGAATCATTAAATTACTGTATACAGAGTACAATTTGAACTACCTATATAATTAGCATAAAGGAATAAACGGCAACCGCATTTTCAGTCCCTCAAATAGTGTCGCATCAAAATGTAGT